TGTACGACGATTTCGTCCCGAAAAAGGTAATTGGGATTACATAAGATAAAACCACGACAATATCGAGAACCATCCAAAAGATAAGAGTGGTAGTTTGAGTGCATTCTTTGCCCACCTTTTACAATATCGCGTCAAAGCTAACGCCATTCTTTAACAGGTGACAAAATTGTTGAATGAAAGTAGCCCGATACCGCTGCTCATGCTGGTGATGCTTGGAATAAAAATGTACAAACATTGCTACTGGCGAAGAATGCATCGAGTTCTCCGAAACTGCTGCTGATACTCATTGCGTCTGAAGAAATACTACCACGAGTATCACAGAGGTGGCTATATCAGGCCTGAGTATAACTGTGACGAGTAAAACTAAGTGCCCGGGAAACTGTTTGAAGGTTCTCATCTGTCTCTGGTTCGACTTTGTAAAGGTTTTAAACCTGGTTCCTAATGAAAGAATTAAAGGTAGCTAGGTAGGTCAACTGTAACAGGGGGCTATACACTTGTCCGGCCGACGTTAGTCGCTTTCCATTTATTAGTTTCCGTGTATCCTGCACTTACGGCTCCTAATAAACTATAACCTGACACTTGGCTACGAAGATTTGGCAACCTAAAGTAAATTTGGTTTTTAACTTGGACGAAGTTCACGTAGTGTACAGTACTGTGAAGACGAAGTTGGGTAACAGCAGGCAGATGAGGTGAACGACCATGTTCAATTCGTAAAGACATTTGCGAAATAAGGTAATTCGTCAATCAAATTTAAATTATTTGACTGCACTGATCTAAGTAGCGCAGCTGGCTGACAACAGCAAGATCATTGCCATTCTCATTCAATAAAAATAAGCGTTATCAACGTAGAAAGATAGGGTATAGTATCTTTTTATAATCACATGCATTTGCAAACAGGCCACAGTCCTGAGAAGCAAGGACCCTGATGGCAAAATGTGAGGCATAAACGTGGACACAGAGCGCACAAAAATTGCATTGGCCCACGTTAAAGACCACGCTGGGGAAGCCTGAATTTTAGCGATTTTTATGAACCGAGGAATAGGCCGGACATTCCTGAGCTTACGAACTGCGAGAATCACTTAGGGGTGCATGAGTGATAGTGTGACCGTTCTTACGGACTTGGATAGGCTACATAGCGCGACGGTCGGCGAACTGCAGACAGGTGTATGAATATGTTCCCCTACCGACCGACGCTAGATTTTTACTGCCGATGGACACAGTGCGCATCGGTTTTTCTATCAGGGATGCAAGTCTTGACATTTAAAATGTATGTAGTGTATGTTAGGAACAGGGCGAACTCTATAAACCTGGAAATGGAGGATTAGAGATGAAATGAAAAACTGAATTCGGTTATCTTGTTTCTGATTATACACTAGCACAATATATTGCTTATAAGCAATGTAATTGTCGATAGACACTCAAATCATCCTATGTGGACGGGTAAGAAAGTTATGCATTCGAAACGCCTCAATTAAAGCGGGGAAATTTAACTATCTTGAATTCGCCCAAAGTATAAAAATACTAGTAAAGACGCACCATAACTTCGGAAAAAGTCAAAAGCAAGCGAACCGCTAGCTGCAGAAAACTGTAAGGACCGCCCGCAGCGGGCTTTTAAAACAAAACGCTGATCTTTGGAAATATAAGAAAGGTAAGCATCATCGTGTATTAGTACAGTTCGATTGAGATTAGGGTAGAATAATCAGTGTGTTGTTGGTATTCGGCTAGTTTTACAAAATAAGCTGGGCACAAACCCGTCGTGATTCGTAATTTCGAATTTTTAAACTTATTAATAATTGCCAGGATAGTGGAAAGGCTTCGTCTATCTGAATACCAACTATCTATTCTGTAGAGCTTTGATCCAATGTATAATTTATCATTTTCTGATAACACGCAGGTGCAGCAATTCCTGGTACTTCTGAGGAAGTCGTGGATGGATGCCGAATATTACGGTTTAATAAGCTTAACGTGCATCTCGTGCAAAAAAATGCAGCGCATTATAAAAATGATGCAGTGTCTGAAGGAGAGTAAAATAGTTTGTAGTGGCTAAAATTTTTATTGTCATTTGGGCTGCCGACCCAAAAGCATTTGTTATTTGCGTGATAAAAAGCCGAACGACGTAAGCAAAGACCATCCTACGGCTACTAGACTCCTCGAATTCAGAGAGGCTCTCCATAGCGTACCACGGCGACGCTTCCGTTATAACAGGATGCAATGTGTCCAAATGGATCGAATTTTCTTGTTCCCAAGAGAGCAGAGATTTGTTCTACCTCGACGTAGGTAAAGGTTGAAAGTTGTTCCAAAAATTCTGTTTTGATCAAGGATTTGCGTAGGGAAGTCGGGTTTTTCACCGAGCACATCTAATTGTGTGCTTTATTCAGCTGCACTGATAACTCATTGAACTTGCAATCGAACATTGACGAGCTTAGTGTTTTGTCAACTACGTGGCTTCTTAAGCTGAGTGCATTTAAATGCCTGGTCTTGCGCATTAGCCCCGGTTGCAAAATTTTCCCGGTATTCATAATATATACCACCGTGTAAAAATGTAGAAACGTAAAAAGGAGCTCGGAATATGGACTACCGGGAACTTTATTTCTTCAAAAAACTAGTAACATGCATTGAATCGGACGTTTTTTTTAAATATGTGTACCTAAACTGTTCGGCAAGATATTCAGCGTCTTTGTGAGATCACATTTCGACTAAGAAATGCTAGCCTGGAAACTGTGAAAGAAGAAAAACATTGACCTCCTTGAACAGGAACAACAGTGTGCATGGAAGATAGTCAACAACCTTAGAGTTTAATGCAACATGATGAGTTGAAAAAACGTGATGAATTTCCTTTATCATACGCGAATTTAAGGTGAACCCCGCTCGAGACTTTACGTATTATCTATAATAATGCTTGCTCATTGGAAAACACATTAATTTTATTCCTTTGAAGTAGCCGCTGGCACAGGTTAGACCCGTAGATAACTTTTCTCTGATTATGGATAAGAGAGACAAACTGAAATGTCAGGCTAAGGAAGCTCTTGTTCCTTAATGATTGTGA